CGAGTAATTTAGACCAGAGGAAAAAGCCACAGCAAACTCCGCTTCAGTCGCCATGATCGACAAACTCGGCGTTATGGTGTGTGACGTACGCTACTCAGGGCTGATTGGCTCGGTTAGAAATCTCATGGGGTGGGGTTATTTGAATAGGAGAGTTCCCAGACCCTTTCTCTGTGCGGAACTAAACAGAGGAGGAGTCTGGCAGGCCAGGCTAGGAGTTACCTTTCAGTGGTGGAAAAAACCCATTGCACACTACTGCCAACTAGCGGTCGGCATTGGAAAGTACACAACTGTTTGCATGTAAATTCTTCCAAAAATTAGATACGTGGCTCTTGAATATCAATATGATATCGCAGGAAAAAAATCACGATATATTGCCATACCGATATTTTCTTACATCCCTAATTTATATATATATTTTTTAAATAATAATTTACAAATAATAATGCAAATTATAATAATAATAATATATGTATATATTTTGTTTGTTTGTTTGTTTGGGGGTTTGTTTGTTTGTTTGTTTGTTTTTATGATATCCATAACATTCAACATTAAAGTAATTAAAGTAGCTCAAAGTTGTTGGAAAAAAAGAAAACTTTACTGGTTAAAAAAAACCTTTGGAGAGCTGAAGGAGAGCTACAATAAAACAAGTGATTTTTTTTAGCACTGAGCTAACCTGCCCAACAATGTTTTACTCCATCTGATCTCTACATTTCCCAAATCTATTGTTTTCACGTATTCCCTGTTAGTTGTATTGTTATCGAACATTTTTTCCAGTGACAACCCCAAGCTCTGCAGACAGAACTCACTCTGGTCCTTCGGCAGAAGAGGCTTAAACAACTTACATGCAGCTAAATATCAGTCAAACTCTGAGGTCTGACCACGTCCCACACAGAACCTCTCACACTGCACCACTCAGCTGACCTCACGGTTCAAGAGAACATCTCAACTTCTACGCATCTACAATCAATGTTCCAGTCTGCCTCAAACTGTTGTTTTCAAGAGGACACTTCCCAGCTCTAATGAAGGCTGGGTTGCTGAACTTGAGTTGTAACAGTGACCTGTGGTACAAGCCAAACACACACCTACACCAGCCATAGGACAATACAGAAATTTATCGTCTGTCGGGGAAAATGCTGTTCTTACTTTGACAGAAACATACTTCTAGGCGAAACAAATCAGGAACTATAAACTGAATGTTAGCATGTTTTGGTTGTTTTTAGCACAGATCTTTGCACAAAAGTTAACATTATGCAAATGAAGCAATAACCACCAAAAGCATTTTATAACTGAAGCTAAATGATTTGCATTACTTTAGAACTTAGTTTTTAGGCGCATCTTTGAACACAAACGGATGGAGCAGCTATAGAAAACGATAAAAGACTGTGTGGCTTAATTCATGTGAGCGTGTCATGTCATTACACAGCCAAAATGGAGATAGTTAATACGGAAGAACAATGTAATTGTGTTGCCAAGCATGTGTGCCCGTTCTGGTTACCATGGAGACAGACGATCTACAGACTGAGTCAACTCTGTGACTGACTGGGTGACATTTGCTCTATAAGTTGGCTGCTCCACAGGTCCAGCAGAAAACACTCGGGAGCCAAATTAAATAAGGCATGATCATAAATTACTCAGATTTAACGGTTATGGTTGTGTCAGGGAAAATAAATGAAAGCAGTCATTATTAAATAGATTATTTAGATCTTATTGCCTGTTGTGCAGTAGCAGCAGGATTGATTTACCACCACCACTGGACCTTACACCCCCATACAGAACCTGCACAATCACCTGTTACTTTCAGCAGACTAGGACCATGAATTTGTGCTGTAGGATGTGCTCGCCACTGCTTAGCCAGGGTGGAGAGAGATAACGGGTGATTTAATGATTTTCTCAACTCGTGTGATTTGATATATTGGCTGACTCTGCGCCTTTAGCTAGTATAACAGGTAAAATCCATTACCCTCCCACCAGCATGATTTATGATGGGTAGTATCAGAGCTATGGGTCTCCCTAAACAGCTGATCCTCCAATAGAAATCTGCTGCAAAAATGTTGGGCTGCACGCTGCAGAACCCTGGGCCACTGGTAATGAGAAAGCAATGGGCTTTGGTTGAGAGCATTTGCTATGAGCATGGCTGCTTCATTTGTACAAGATGTGGTCCGATGTTTGCAAAAAAAGATACTTTCAGATCCTTGAGCTCTGATAGGCTATATTCAAACATTAAGGATGGTTTGAGGAGGAGTGTTGGCAGGTCACATGACACAAGTCAAGAGTTATAGGTTTTAGGTGCTCTATCATAGATAGATAGATAGATAGATAGATAGATAGATAGATAGATAGATAGATAGATAGATAGATAGATAGATAGATAGATAGATAGATAGATAGATAGATAGATAGATAGATAGATAGATAGATAGATAGATAGATAGATAGATAGATAGATAGATAGATAGATAGATAGATAGATAGATAGATCAAGGTATGTAGTTTGGGAAAA